CTCTTAAGAACTTCTCTTGGTGCGAGAGCCTGGCCAAGGGCCAGATTCCTGGAGGAGCTGGACGCAACATGTGTCTGGCTGTGCGGGTAATGCAGGGCTGTCAGGGTTGCCAAGGTTTGGCCGGAGAGGGCAGGCCGGGCTGTCTGGTGAAGGTCTGGAGATCAGGCATGGCCCTGCCTTTCTCTGCTGCCATCTGTGGGATGAGCACCTGTCCCGTCTATGCTGCAGGAAAGCGGGGTCGGGGGGACATCAAACCCACTGCCCGCATTTACAAGTGGACATGCAAAGGCCAGGGAAGGTGAGCCAGGAATCAAACCCAGGGCTCTTCACTGCCCCGCTGACCACGGCACTGCCCCCAGCTCCACTGTGTTTTCTGAAAGCTGTGTCTCAGAAGACAAAGATGGATTAGGCTCAGGGAAGGGGAAAGAGACTGGAAGACCTACCAAGCATCAGCCAATGAAAAGAACGAGGAGGGCCAGCAGGTGGCATGGTAGTCAAAGTGTAGACTGCCACATGGGTGACCATGGTTCAAGTCCTGGACCTGGTGGCTTGAAAATCACACAGAATACATATGCATTCATGCCCTAACTCTCAAGAGGAGTGTGGAAGAGAAGGGACTACAGTGTGGCCATCCCCCTGGAGGGCTGATTTCTCCCTTTTTCTCTCTCTGTCTCTCTGACGAGAACACATGCCCTATGCCAGAAACTTAAAGAAACAAAAAGAAAAGAAAAGGAAAGAAAAAAGAGCAAGGACGTGGGTATAGGGCCGTGGAGGTCCAGAGGGGCCATAAGCAGAGCCTGTAAGATCAGGGAGAAAGGCCAGGCCCAGGGCCAAGAGCTCTGGTCTGTGTTGCCTGGTGCCGAAAAGCCAGGCTCAAAAGTGAAGGGACATTGGTTCCCACCTCCAAGTGCTCAAGACAGTGGTGGCTACGTCCCCAAGCTCTTATTTCTTCTCCAATATTAATTTTTTTCCTCCAATTTTTACTAAATTACGTGATCTTGGACAAATAACTTGGTCTCTGTGCCTCAGTTTCCCCATTTTTAAAAGAGGATGATAATAGGAGTTCCTTCAGAGGGTTGTTTTAACACTCGGATGAGGTAACACATGTAAAGTGCTTATAATAATGCCTGGCAGGACCAGCTGTTGGCGTAATGGCTATGTCACTGGACTTCCATGTGATCGACCGCAGTTTGAGTCCCGGACAAGTCCTGGACCTGGTGGCTTGAAAATCACACAGAATACATATGCATTCATGCCCTAACTCTCAAGAGGAGTGTGGAAGAGAAGGGACTACAGTGTGGCCATCCCCCTGGAGGGCTGATTTCTCCCTTTTTCTCTCTCTGTCTCTCTGACGAGAACACATGCCCTATGCCAGAAACTTAAAGAAACAAAAAGAAAAGAAAAGGAAAGAAAAAAGAGCAAGGACGTGGGTATAGGGCCGTGGAGGTCCAGAGGGGCCATAAGCAGAGCCTGTAAGATCAGGGAGAAAGGCCAGGCCCAGGGCCAAGAGCTCTGGTCTGTGTTGCCTGGTGCCGAAAAGCCAGGCTCAAAAGTGAAGGGACATTGGTTCCCACCTCCAAGTGCTCAAGACAGTGGTGGCTACGTCCCCAAGCTCTTATTTCTTCTCCAATATTAATTTTTTTCCTCCAATTTTTACTAAATTACGTGATCTTGGACAAATAACTTGGTCTCTGTGCCTCAGTTTCCCCATTTTTAAAAGAGGATGATAATAGGAGTTCCTTCAGAGGGTTGTTTTAACACTCGGATGAGGTAACACATGTAAAGTGCTTATAATAATGCCTGGCAGGACCAGCTGTTGGCGTAATGGCTATGTCACTGGACTTCCATGTGATCGACCGCAGTTTGAGTCCCGGACTTGGTGGCTTAAACTTACACTGGGCGTGTGTGTGTGTGTGCCCAAGATCCTGAGAAGAGAATGGAGGAGAAGGGATTGCAGCATGGCCATCCCCCTGGGGAGTAATTTCTCGCTTTCTGTCTCTCTGGCGAGTGCCTGCACCCTATAGCAAGATTAAAAAAAAAAAAAAAAGACAGAAAGAAAAAGAAAAAAAAATTAGTGCTGGGAAGCTTCCTACCAAGGATGGATGGCCTGCCTCAGTGAATTCGTGTAGAACATGTCATTTGAAAGGAGTCTCCATACCCAGATCTGAGAGTTCCCAGTCTGAGCGTTCCAGGCGGAGTATACCATCCAGGCAGGATTTTGCACAGCTCCTAGTCAGGTTAGGGTTTCAGGCAGGGGCTACTGGTCTCACCTGTGTGACAGGAAGGACATGTGTCCTCTCTGGCCAGAAGAGAATGTGAGGTGGGAGTGAGGGAGGGGGTGAGATGGAGCAGAAATGCCGCTGGGGCAGCCCGATGGGTAGCAGGGCATCCCAACCCAGCAGAGGCAGGGAGGAGGATGAACCCGAGGTCCTGAGGCAGGTGCACGCGGGTGACAGGTTGTGGCCATCACGCAGATGAGGCAGGGTGCGAAACAGGTGCTGTGGGGGTAACGGAGTCCATATTTGAGGGCTCTGGAACTTTGTCCTTTGTCCGATAACTGCTTTCCCGGCCCTCCTAGTCCTTGGCGTGTCCACCCCTGAAACCCGGGGCACTGTTTTCTCAACGTTGTTTTCCTAATTAACCGTGACCTGGGCCGTGCTCCCGACAGCTCGGGCCGTCCGGTTTGGTGATAGCGTGGTGACCATTTCCTGCAAGGAACATGCTCGGTTTCCTGAGGCTCAACAGGATTGGGCATTCTGCTGGTTTATTTGCTTAAGGGCTTGAACGCTTGTTGCTTGTCTCGGGTCTGAAGGATTTCCAGCGTCGGGGCTGGGTATTGTGTTTATGTAAGACATGAGCGTCCACCTTCCTCTCTGCCCCATGAGGCTGGAGATCAGCAAACCATCCACATGGATCATGTCAGGGAGGACAATGCTGGGTCAGACCAAGGAAGCTCAGGGCCTGGGTGCCACCGTCCCTGTTTCACCTCTCAGGGTTTCTCCTCTTTTTAAAGGCTTTTTATTTTTTTAAGTTTGTGGAGAGTGTTGTGCACTCACCAGAGAGAGACAGAGGGACAGAGAGAGAGAGAGAGAGAGAGAGAGAGAGAGAGGAAGAAAGCACCTCCCCCCACCCTGGGGAATGGTCATGCCGCAATCCCTTTTCCTCCATTTCTACTTCTAGAACTTTGGGCACACATGCACATGTGTCCGGCATGTTTCTCAAGCTGCTGGGTCCGAGACTTAAACAGCAGGGTCAGCCATGTGGGATCCTGCCGCCTTAACCACCTGGCCACTTGACATTTATAGACAACCACAGTAGCCATTGTGGATTAAACACTTGCATGTACCAGGCTCTGGCCACCGATCTTTTTTCTTTTTTTTGGAGAGGTTCTTGCTATAGGGTGCGTGTGCTCGCCTGACAGACAAAGAGAGACATAGAGACAGAAAGCGAGAAATCACCCCCCAGGGAGGATGGTCATGCCGCAATCCCTTCTCCATTCTCCTCTCAGGATCTTGGGCACGCACGCACACGTGCCCGGCGTGAGTTTAAGCCACCGGGTCCTGGATGTGAACCGCGGTCGACTACATGGGAGTCCAGCGACATAGCCATTACGCTAACTGCTGGTTCCCTGGCCACTGATCTTGTAAACATCATGTCATTTAAGCTCCCAGTGCTATAAAGGATGGTGTTTATGGATGGGGAGACTGAGGGACCACTGTTATATCTCCTCTCCTTTCAAAGTCATTGGGCCGCAGCGACATGGTGACAATCACTGATGCTGTGTTTCAGGCCTCAGGAAGTGGCCCCATGCTGCCTGCCATGGGTCCTGGTCTCCTGTCTCCTGTCCCCCACATGGTTCAGCACGGAGCGCAGGTGTTATTTGGTGACGGAAAACATGGAAACTCCTCCCTCTACTTCTTTGCTCCTCAGCAGAGTCTTCGTCAAGGCCTCTTTGTTTGCTAGGACGGGACACCCACTCAAACTAGCTTTTGTTCACATTTAGAAAAAATGCACACAGTCCAGGAGAGGGCACAAAGCACAGCTCTATAGAGGCCTGGAAATGGGAAATGGAAAAGAACGTCTATATTTGGCTTTTCCCTTCTTCCCTCTCATTCCGTCCGTGCTCCAGGGCCCTCTTAGTCACCATCCGTATGGTACCAGCCCTGTGGTTCTGGATCCTGCTGACCGCCTGTGCGGTCACGGCACTCTCTCCCTTCTGCCCTCACCGCTGCGGCCCTTCCTCCTCTGCCTCCCTGGTACCGTACAGTTCTGTGGGGCTCCCGCCATGGCCACCGCCTCTGCCCTTCCTCATCCTCTCTCTACGAAGTCGTAGCCACTCAAAGTGCCGCGAGCTACTCATGTGCTGGGAGTTTGTAAACCTGTGTCTGTCCCTGGCCGCCCTCCTGGGCCTTTGACATGCCTGGCAGCTCTCTCTGGGGGAGGAGGGGCGCAGTCGGTCCGAAGTGCAGTTCATCACCTTCCACCGCAAACATGGAGGGTGTCCTTAAGTCCTTTCTCTCCCTCATCCTCACACTCTGAACCTGTCCAGCAAGTCGAGCTGTCAGACACCCACGGTCTCATCTGTCAGCCAGTGGGAGTGAAGAGCACCTGCCTGTCCGGGCTGTTGTCTCATTGTCTCAGGGGCCTGGATGTGGGGCTGGCCAAGGCCTGGGCTGGATGGGGGCTTGTACTTGCCTGAGGTGGAGGCAACTCCAGAGCACGCCTGGCTTGGCCTCCTGGGCCCTTTCTTACACACCTCTGGCCTGCCAAGCCCACAGGGTCCCCTCTCCTCACCCAGCTTTACCCAGGGCTCCTCCCCGATGGCCTCATCCACAGAGGCCCCTGTTCCCCAGGCTCTGCCTTGGGGCTCTAGGCTGCAAGTGGCCCTCTAGGTGGCAGGGAAATGGCAGGCCATCTGCAGAGGGGGCTGCCTGCACAGGGCCGCACCGTCTCGGCCTTGTGTCCTCGGAGCATGAACACATCCCCTTTTCTGTCCTCAGGCGACTGCAGCCTTCAGACGTGCACAGGACCCGCTGCCTCGCCCTGGCCATAGCGGACATCGTGTGGCGGGCTGGGGGCCGAAAGAAAGCCGTGGTCGCACTGTAAGTGGTTCCCGAGGCTGTGCTGCCTGCGCTCAGCCTCTGCTGCCAGCTGCAGGCCAGCGGCTCTTGCTTTCCTGACCGTGGGGCATAGAGCCGGATCTGCACCTCCTCCCAGGACCCTGGCCTGTGCCACCTGCCCAGATGAACCCCCCGATGGGTGGGAGGGCTAAGGCCTTCCACACGGCCCTGCTGCCACTGTCTCTGGGCTCCCATTCTCATCCTGAAGGCCTAGTCATATCTGCCTTCCTCTCCCAGGTGCCCTGGGGTAGTAACCCTGAGAAAACCACTGTCTTTAGCAGCCAGCTCCCCTAGACATGTCTCCAACCCAGAGGCCTTAGAAGGAAGCCCCATGGGTGACCAGGTGAACCAGTGGGAAGAGCTCCCATCTGTACTGCTCCTCCCAGTCCCCAAAGCCCGCTCCCATGTGCTTGGTCACGTGGTCCCATGCCACTGAGGAGAGACCCCAAGAGGTGAGCCGAGGTGGTGGAGTCCAGCCCTGAGCTCTCTTGCCCTCACTCAGCGTCATCGGAGCCCAGCCCTGAGCTCTCTTGACCTCACCCAGCGTCGTCCTCCCCACACAATCCAGGTGGGTGGTCTGCTGGCTGTCAGCCTGAGCAGGTGGAGAGAAAGCAGCACTTCACCAGCCTGTGGCTAAGCCATAGCAAAGGCTGTGACTTTGGGGACCAAGGACCACACTCTGGGAGGCCTTATTACTCACTAGGGTAGAGTGCGTCAGAGAAAGGGGTCTGGAGGCCGTTGCTCACAGCCTGTGTGACCTTGGGCAATCGACTTAACCTCTCTGTGCATTTACTCATCTGAAAAACTATAAATGAAGGTAATAATTATTAATAAGGTGGTTGTGAGAACTAAATGAATCAACATAAGTAAATAATATAGAGTAAGACGTTTACATTGTTTATCAGGATTAATAATAATAACTGTGAGGTGCTCAGGATAATATCTGGCGCATACTGAGTTCATGGAAGTTCAGGTACAGTCATTCCTCCGTGTCTAGGGGGGATTCTTTCTGGGCCTCCCTGCCCCACCGAAGGTACTGAAATTGTGGATGTTGCCATCTGTCACATAAGTGGCACGGGCCCTGCTTCTTTCCTGCGCACACCCTCCCGCATAGGTTAAATCATCCCTGCCACTTGCACTAGCTGGTTCCAGGTAACACTGCGTTCTTAGTTACGATGCCGCAGTGTTAGGGAGTAACAAGGGAAATGTCTGTCCCCGCTCAGTACCGACAATAACCACAGGGTACACGACAGCAACAACGTCACATTGTCAAGGTCGGCTGAGTCTGCAGCTGTGGGACCCAGGGTCCAGATCTGTGTGGCAGCTCGGAAAGATTAGGGACCAGAGTCCCGAGAGGCATGGTGACTGGCCCAAGGCCACACAACAGCTAACGGCACAGTGGGTCCTGTCCCTCCTCCTAGTTCCTGCTGCCATGGGCTGCACACCCAGTGGGTGCTGTAAACAAAGCGCCCGGAAACTAGCGGTGAGAGAAGACTGGCTGGCATCCCTCAGTCCGTGCAAACGGCG